TAGCCCCAGGCATCATGGTGCTTTCTGTCTCTGAGACTTGAGTGACTACTTGAAGTACCTCATATAAGTAGAATCATACAGTGTTTGTCTTCTTGTGGCTGGTTTATTTCACTTGACATCACTATTCTCCAGGTTCATACATGGGGCTTCTCCCAGAGCCTTTTCCCGGAGCAACTACGAGGTAAGGAAAGCTGTCTTTCCTCTAAGAAGGTTGGGGGAAAATTGAGGCTTGGAGTGAAATTTGTGTTGTCCAAGGACAACAAGGCCTGCAGGCTGAGGAAACTTCCTGTGCTTTGTTTTGCAGCTGAGGCTGGAAAAAGAGTTAGAGCCCAGAGACCCTGGATGCAAGCCTGGAGCTTGCCAGTGGCTCTTTACCTTTCCTAGGCTCAGTCTCCCATTCTCTCTAACGGATATGATGAAAACTGACTTTCCTTTCTCAAACTGTTGTTTTGATCGAGTACAGTGTTTAAATGCCCTTTAAAGTGCTGGGCTCTACAAGATAACAAAGCGGTGCGTGAGAATCCAGACTCTCTTAAGTCCTCACAGCAGCAGCACATCCTGTTAAATCAGAGGAGCACTCACGTCATGGCAGGATGCAATTGAACAGTTGTGGTTGGAGGCTGACGGCATCTGGCCGTAGTTACTCTCTTCCGGCAAGTTTTAGCTTTGTGTTGCAGCACAGTCGCTGTATACCACTGCTTAATTTATTTATTCATTCAGGAAATAGAGATAGCCCAAATCAGTAAGTTATAAAAAAATAATAAAAATTAAAAAAGAAAAACAGAGATAAAGGGCCCATTCTGTGTCAGCCACTGTTGCACACTTGACAGGAAATAAGGTAGACAAAGTCCTGACAATAGGTTTACAGTGTGGTTGTGGAGACAACATCAGACAAAGTCACATATGTACATGATTACAAGTCAGGCCAGGACAACGCAAGGTGCTATGAAAGAGTGTGGAGGGGAGCCCACTGACCATTGCAGAGCTCAGAAGGCTTTCCTATGAATTAGCTTGGACCTGACATCTGCAGGGAGAAAGAGGAAGTGGAATTGAGTGTTGTGAGCAAGGGAGGTAGCATAGTTACCCTCTATCTTCATTATGCACAGTAAGTGTGATGGATTGTCATATCATCTGATATAAGAGTTGTAGGAGCTGCTGTGGAATAGACCGTGGTTGCAGCATCTTGTGATATAAGCTTTAATAAAGGTCGCGTATACTCTTTCTTAGCGCAGCCACAGTCTGGGACTGCACAGTAATCTAGCTTGTAGACTCTGCTGCTCTTTAACATAATGAATGTTCCCAGAACAGTATAGCAACCATCTGCTACTATTATGTTCTGAGGTAAAGTATGTGTGCATATTTTCTCTCTCTCTCTCTCTCTCTCCCTCCCTCCCTCTCTTTCATAGCCCAAGCTACCCTCAAACTCACTGTGCAGCCAAGGATGACCTTGAGTTTCTGACCTTCCCAATTATACCTCCTGAGCACTAGAATTACAGACATGTGATATGCCATCATGTCTGGTTTTATGTGGTGATGGGCATTGAACCTAGGGATCTGTGAGTGCTGGGCAATGAATCTACCAACTAAGGCACACTTCTAGATTACATTAACTGTCTCTATTTGGGCATTAGTACAGCATAGCATAGTGTAGGTATTGTGCTATTAAATATATAAGCTGAGCTGGTAGAACTAGGAACTAAGAAAACTACTTTTTTTTTTCTATGTTGGATCAGATGCTTCCTTAATGAGGAATAGGAAGAGAGAAAGAGAATAGATTTTTATTTAGAATTTACAATGTGCCCAGTACTGTGCTTTAAGTGTTTATCTCCCAGAGAAAGAGAGAGAGAGAAAGACAGAAAGAAAGGTTAGTGAGGCCATGTCAGTTACCCGAAGTTCTGGAGCACACATAATGAATCATAAATTGATATCACACCTGACTAACACCAAAGGCCATGTGATTCTTCACTGATCTTCATAATTCTGAAGACCCTACAACCCTCCACACTGTAGGAAAGTGGCCTGTGATCTGCCTTCCCATCTCCATGAGGTGCCTCAGAGCAGGCGTGTTTTGTGAGAGCCTCAGTGTCAGCCAGGCCCAGCCCTGGCTGCAGCAGGGTAGACACCAGGGAGGTCATCCCTCCATCGATGCCTGCCACAGAGCTGCCACGGAGCTGAGGGAGATTCTTTTGCTTCTCCAGGGCATTGCACATCCAGAAGGAGATGTTGAGAGGATGAAAGTCAAAAGGGCATGAGAGGGAAGCAGAGACATGGCTGCCAGTGTTCTGAACTGTGTCTTGTGATCTCACCAGTACCCTGTGAAATCTGGCTTTGTTTATTGCTCCAGAGTTCTAAGGGCTAGCCTGCTTCTCTTCCTCCCTTTTTTTCTCCCTCCCTCTCTCCCTCCTTCCCTCCCTTCCTCCCTCCCTCCCTCACAACCATCCATCCTCTGTGAAGCTAGTTTGAGTGGCTTTTTATATTTGCAAACAGAAAAAAACCCTAGCAGAGCCCTCCCTCCAGAGCTGTGAGGATTAAATGAAATATGTGTGAGGGCTTGGCAGACCACTGAGCCAGCCAGCAGACTTCTTGGGATGGCATTTACCAGAATGTTTCCTAAATCTAAGACAAGTGGTGAGCTGTATGGACCACTGCACTTACCTTTTGGAAACCCGGAGCTGTCTACATCTCTTTTGGGACTGCTTGTGATCATGACTATATGCAACGTCCTGACAAGTCTTATTGTAAAAAGCTGGGTGTAACTTCACTTAGGTCAGCATTTCCCTAACTTAGTTGATTCTTTTTCCTGAAACACACCTTAGACAGCTGCACCAAACCCAAGAAATACTGCTATAGAGAGAGCATGGGGGGGGGGGGACTGGCTTAGGAACCTCTAGGGCACCTTGAAACCATGAATTCTGTTCTACACTCCAAAGCTGTGTAAATGAATTCTCATTGGTAGGCTCCTTTGTTTGCCTCTCAGATCTGTTCTAACAACAGTATTAATGCTGTGGATACAAACTTTTTGCAACTCTCATAATGAGAAAGAATCCTATTTTTTCACCAGGAGAATGTTGGGAGTTGAAACTTCCCCCATGAAACCATTTTTGAGGGTTGAAGCTTCCTGCCCTCAGTCTCAAAATCTGGGCCTCGAAGATGTAGAGAAAGCATCGAATCCCCACTCCCATTCCCTGGCCATCTGAAGCAGAGAGAAAGGAGCCATGTTGACCAAGGTCATGGACCTATTTCTAGCTAACCATTCCCTGGACAGCAGATGATGACACAAATAGGCATGTGGAGTGGCAGAGTTGACCTCTCTCTGACCACTGCAGCTCTTGTAATTAAACAGAAATGTTAGCATAAATCAAATGGTCTTTCCACCACTATTATCACTAACCGCACACTCTGTCTAGGGAAGGTAGACTGGGATTACTCTCGGGCCTGCAACAAGCCATAAAACCTGCAGATGCTAATGAGCCATCACTCCAACCAATTAAGAGAAGAAGCAAAATTGACTTTAATGAAGGCTTCATGCATCCCATGGGTTTCTCTCAGACCCAGGGGTGCCAGCGAGCCCCTCTGCACTCAATTTCCATGGTTTTAGAGAGTAGTAAAGCAGCCGTGTGTAAAATGGGCCTAGCTGGTTGTAGGGAGATCTTATATCTGAACTCAGTCAAGGGCCTTGGGAAAGTCTCATCCATTTTCTTCCTTCATCACTACAGCCATCCCTTTCATCTCTTACATTCACCAAACATGTTTTCAGCATCTACTATTTGCTAATTAATTCCTGCTGCTAGACATTGAGGATGTAAAGATTGTCCTGTCTTCCTCTAACCTGAAGTCCAGTGAGGCTTATAAACGCTCTTCAAAGCTGTAGTAATGAGTTCTCATGATTGGTTGTCTTCTTGTCTCTTTTTCAAAAACCGGGCCTGTAAGAACCCAGAATGGAGTTGCCATTTCTTTTGTGGGTTTGGGCAAATACTTTCTTCAAGGCAGACATAAGCCAATTTTCCAAGAGAATTGGTGGGTGAATAGAGATGAGATGGTTCTACAAAAATGGCACTGTCATGAAAGAAAAGTAGCAGGAGCCAACATACTATCTAGGGCAACAAGCTTTGCTTGGAGAATCAGAGAATTATCTCTGAGAGAGAAGAAAGCAAGGTAGACTAAAGTCAGTGCATACAGGCACTGGGTCATAAAAAGCCTTACATGCAAAGCTGAGGAGTTTAGCTGTTGTCTTGAAGTTTGTGGACCTGGTCAAAGCTAAAGTCATATCATTTGGGCAGTGTGGTTGGACAGTCAATTATCTACTGCTCTGTGGCTTTGGTTAAGTCAGTTGCCTCAGCTGTGAAATAAGGGTGATAAGATTGTCTCGGAGAACTCAATGTTCTTTTGATAATGATTCTCTGGGCAGTGGAATTTTAGGCTGTAAATGATGGTTCTATGACAGAAGAAAGACCATTCAAGATATGACAAATGAGTGGGAGTGAGGCTGGGAAGTATGTCCACATGATCCAGGCTGCTATCCTCCTTCATTGATGATCTCCAGGGAGAAACACAGCAACATATTAGGGAGCACTATACCACTGTCTGGGATTCTGCAAAGCACATTTCTCCCTATCATTCCTTCTGATACAACTACCCTGCTGGGGCATTATTCTGTACAATTCAATTACGCAAATACAAGAGAAATTGGGCATCAAAGAGGAAAAGTGAATTTCTCGAGGTCATGGAGGTAGTAGGTCCTGAAATTCATATTACTTCTCCTGGTTCTTAGTCTAGTAGTCTGTTCAGAAAACTCCAGCAAGTGACTTTGGGTAGTTGTCTGTAAATAGCCAAGGACAATAGCTGCACTCAGGAGGTGAAGTAAAATTTCCTCTAATTTTTAAATTTTCTCTAATGGTTAGCCTGGAAATTCTTTCTCAAGTTTATCACCTGGTTTCTTCCTGTTTCCATATCTCCATCCTGTGACTCTCTGATTCCAAACATTGTCCCCAGTCTCTCACCTGTAGTTGCCCAAATAGACTCCATCAGGGTTGAGCATCGGTGCAATCTTGAAGACCAGGTGTTCTCGTAGGACACGGGCAATTGGATGCTGACTTACAAGGAAGTCAATGATCCCTAGGGAAAGAGACACACCTGAGTTAAACTCTAAGTGTTTCAAGGAGGAAACACTTTTTCTTAGGCCAAAAAAAAAAAAAGACAAGATGGCCAGTAACTTTTGGCTTCTGTCATCAGCTACTGTCTATATGTGATTATGGAATTATGTCTAGGTGTTTCCCAATGGATTGCCAAATGCATCTTTGTTTCTAAGAGAAGGTAGCTCAAGACATAGCATTGAGGCCTAGGGACAAGAGGGAAAAGCACTTCATGTAAAGCAGAGAGGGTTTCCAAGCATTTGAGCTGAGCCTTGGGGGTGGCTAAATAACAGCCACAGCTCAGGAGGGTGCTGCCATCACACAGCCACAGGGGTGGGCCTTCCTGAAGGATCCCCTTTAGTACCCTTCAGGTGATGGTCTGCATCTATCAATAGGAAAGACATTGGGGAAATAACTAGCTCTCAGCCCTGCCTCTTCCCTCTTTTCCGTGTGTCCCCTTCTTCAATGGAGACCTGAAAATATAGTAAAAATACTGTTCTGACATCTCATGAAATTGGCCATAAAGTGATAGGAGTCTCACAAAGGCAGAGGGGACTTGTCTCCTGCTGGATGAGAGGGAGCCTCTGAACTGGGCCCTCACAGGTCTTGACAGTCAGGCATGAGGAAGACAGCAGGATAACTAAGAACAATTCGTGTGCACAGCAGCGAGCACTTAGCTCTTGGAATGATAAATCACTTCAGAGCTCATTCCAAAGCTGCTGTGACCAGCAAGGGACATCTCAGGCTTTTTATTATACCAGGCTGAGAATCCATGGGCAGCTGAGGGCCAGTTGGACGTCATTTACTTCTCGACCGACGAGGCAGTGGACCAGATGCCCTAATTTATTTGTTGGTCCTTGTATTAGAGTTGCAGTTTGCCAATAAACAGGCAGGGTAATGATGCCAGGCGCCCTTGTTAGGAGCTAATAATTGCTTAATCTGTCCGCTAATTGACCCTGGCTCCCAGGGCAGCCCTCCATCAAGGAGGCAGCTAGAGCTCAGGGCTGGGCTAGGCTGCCTCATAGAATGGCTTCTGGAAATGGAGGTGCTCACCTCCTTCACAGATGAGCAGATTAATTGGGCTGACAATTAGGAACCTAATAAAAGAATGAGAGAAAACAAAGCCAGACAGACTAGGGCCATCCAGAGCTCATTTTCCCAGGTGTACTTAGGGCGATGAGAAGGTAAATTTTAGACTTAGCTCTTAGCTCTAAGTTAGCATCAACTGGACAAGAACCCTTCCCACTCACCCTTTCTCCTATTTCCAGTCCCTCTGGCAATTCCACACATGTTAGGAATCAAACTCAGGTCCTTGCACTTGTAAGACAAGCAATGTACTGCCTGATGCATCTCCCTAGATGCATGGTCCCTAGACCAACTGGTCATTTTATAAGAGGAGAAAGAATCATCTCTCTCTCTCTCTCTCTCTCTCTCTCTCTCTCTCTCTCTCTCTCCCTCTCCTTTGCTTGTTAGGATGGTTTCTAGAAGAGGGACTAACCTAAGTTGTCCAGAGGTTTGAAGAGGCAAATTAGGGCTGAGGAGTTTCTAGGCAGAGGGCCACCTCTACCAGGAAAGGTAGCAGGAAGTGAAGCATAGTGCAAAGGACCATGGGAAAAAGCAAGCCAAGACAATGCCATGCCTGGGCATAGGCAAAAGCACTGCATGGACACAGGGAGCAGAGGGATCCAAGGAGCAGAAAAGACTTGGAATTCACTGGTTGTTGGTCGTAAATGTTGAAGGCTTGCTCTGGCCCACCTTCTCATTTCAACAGAAAGATGATGTTGAACCCCTTGTAAGGGGGGTTGCCTCCACCTTGCTGGGAAAGGCCAATAGTCCCACGACATCAGTCCTATCCATGATTTTGCCATGTCCTTTCCCCCCTGCAAAGTCATCATTAGTGCTCCCTCCTACCTCACCACTGCTGACATTTCCTCATCTCCATGTTTCCGAGGCTGTTCTAGACGGGTGGGGTTGTTAGCTCCCTCAGTCTTTACAACCACCTCAGGAGGTAGCTTACTGTTTCCCTCTGAGATAAAGAAGCTGGCGTACAGGGGGTGCTGCGACATTCTCAAGGTCACAGTGTAACAAGTGGAGGTGCTGGAATCGAATCTCTCTGTGTCTGCTAAGAGAGCTTCACACACCCTGCCGTGGGGCAGCATGGGAGCTCCCCTGTTCTCCCGAATGAGGATAGTCCGGGATCACAGGGGCCACATGTGAAGGGGGGGTGACGGAAGAGGGACCCTGAGTCAGCTTTCTACAACCTTCAGGAAATCTAAACCCTGCCGTCCTTAACACCAGCACTTCCAGATACCTGTGACGACAGAACTCCGCTGTACTCCCAGAAGCAGGTGCACTAGCAGCTCGGCAGTGAGAACTATGGCCCCAGCCAGATGGAGCTAACCAGGCTTCACAGGCCTGTTTGCTGCTCAAGGTCACTGAGGCAGCGAATGGAGAGGAACAGAGTTTCTCAGCCACTACCCCTCCAGGCCTCAGACCTGCACTTCCCCAGAGCTAGGTGAGCCGGGGGAAGCGACCTAGCTGCAGACTCTGACTACAAAAAAGAAATCTTCTGCTGTGCCCTATGGGGTTTGACGCAAGCTGTCCCCATGGAATACAAACCTGAAACAGGCAGAAAATCCGGGGTAACAGTGCCTGCCTTGTGCTGCCTCAAGGAAAGGGGAATTGCTGTATGTCTCAAGGGACAGGTGTTGAGGTAGGGAAAGACGGGGGCGGGGCTAAAGAGGGAAATGGATTTTATTGTTGTGAATGAGTGCTGTTCCCTCAAGTAAGCCACCTCACTTCTCAGAGTCTCGTATCCCTACCTAAAACGTGTATGTCAGCTGGGGGGCAGTCAGCATTCTGTGTTCTTCCAGTATAAAACTTGACTCTCTAGCACTCTTCAGCCCCAAGTAGAACAGGAGAACAGGCACAGGCTGAGGATCTGGCCAGACCCAGCTCCAACTCCCTCTCTGCTACTTGCTGTCTGTGTGACCTTGAGCTTTCTCTTTCTCAATTTAGTGTTAGCGATCCGGAACCAACACAGCCTTTGTTCCTTCTAACAGCCCTAGATAATGAACAAAATAATCCAGTTTTTCAGATGTGAAAAGTGTCAATTGGAGTGCCAGTCCTAAACCTTAAATAGATCATGCTTGAATAGAAAAGACAAATGTACATAGATCACATAATGAACCAGAGTCTTTTATTAATGATGTTAATTTTCAGATCTCCAATGTAAGCAGAAAGCAGAGGGCTCAAGGGGGTAGGTTATAGAGGTCCATGGTGGGGCACTTAAAATAAACCATAGAAGACAGGAGGTGTTTGCAAAGTGTTAAGAAGTGGCCTCCAAGGCAAAGGGAACAGCAGGGGCAAGGACCAGGTGAGAGAAGACTGCCCTTCTGTGTTTAACCTGTGTGAGGTTGCATTGTTATAAGGCTGAGATCAGAGCTCTTGGAAGAGCCTGGCCATGATGGGCTGTGGACTCCATTCCGGGGAGGTGGGAGCTTATCTTGAGAAGGCAGGCATTCACAAACCCTACCAACGAGCAAACATGTGTCTGAAAGCCTCTAGGATGGCACTTCATACATCAAGTCAGCGCCATCCAAGATCCCTGTTCAGGAAACAGGGGCAGCACCTGAGATCCTCCTCTGTAAAATGGGATGCTGACTTTCTGTACTGCTCACAGACATGGCAGCCACGGGGGTTTGGCTACCCAGAGTTGAAGGTATCGATGCTAAGACTCACTGCCTTTTTGCCAGCAAGGGCAAAGCAGTTACATTCAGTCAGCTGGGGGAGCAGATCTGCTGCCAAGTTTAGTAACTGACAGATGGTTTCGAGTAAAGGGGTAGGCAGACCCAGGAGAGCCTGGGAAAGGTTATCGCAAGGACAGTGCTGGGGCCCAGAAATGAGCATGTTAAGGAGTCAGTGGCAGTGACTGGGGCCCAGCCATGCAACTGACAAGCTGCTAGACTCTGAGCCAGTCGCATCCTCTCTCTGAGACTAGGTCTCATCAGCTGAAAAAGAGAAGGAGGCAATCGTGCCTAAACAGCATGGGAAGAATGGGACCAGGAAAATGAAGCCCATATTTCTATGCACAGTGCTTGAGAGTTTGCAAAGTAGACTAGCTACTACTTCATCTTCTCAGTTCCCATGGGGATGGAGGTGGAATCTGTCAAGTGCCCGTTATATGCTAGGCATAAGACTAGGTGTTGTGTTTACATTTATCTCCTGCCAGCCTCCTACTGCCTTCCTGGACAGTTCTGTTAGCTTCAGTTTACATTGCTGGGAACCGATATGATGCTGCAAGGAGGTGGTCCAGCCAGTCTCTGAACTCAGGGTTGTCTGACTCCAAATATCCACGTATTTCTACTGCATCACTGCCCTTGAGCTGTATAACCTTCATAAGCATTCTTTTTTATTTTTATTTTTTATTTATGACAATTATTCACTTTGTATCCTGGCTGTGGCCCCCTTCCTCACTCCCTCCCAATCCCACCCTCCCTCCCCCTTCTCCTCCCATGCCTCTCTCCCAGGCCACTGATAGGGAAGGTCCTCCTCCCCTTCCATCTGACCCTAGGCTATCGGTTCTCATCAGGACTGGCTACATTGTCTTCCTCTGTGGCCTGGTAAGGCTTTCCTCCCCCCTCATGGGGAGGTGATTAAAGAGCTAGCCACTGAGTTCATGTCAAAGACAGCCCCTGTTCCCCTTAAAGGAACCCGCTTGAAGTCTGAGCTGCCATGGGCTACATCTGTACATCTAGGTTATCTCCTGGAGGTATCTCCATTCCTGATCTCAAGCTGTACTATAGAGCAACCGTAATAAAAACTACATGGTACTGACATAAAAATAGAATGGTGGATCAATGGAATTGAATAGAAGACCCAGAAATAAACCCACACACCTTTGGACAACTAAGTTTTGAAATCAGTGTAAGAGTGTCTGGAATAGTATTGTTTTCAAAAAATAAATATTTTAAACCACTTAATTATTCATCATCGGGAGAACAGACAAGTAAATTGAGTTATAAACAGACATGGAATATAATACAGTGAGGAAAAGCATGCAAACTGGAGCACTACTCACCCACATGGACACCAAGTGGAAAGCAAGCCATGGTGCATAGAGAATGATGGCATTGGTGCAAAGTTCAAGAACAGAAAAAAACTAGAACATACATTGTTTAAGGATGGTTATGAATATAGTTAAACTTAAAGATGTAAATGACCAAACACAAAAAATCAAGGTCATGATCATCTGTGGGAGGGAGGGGGGACTGGACAAAGAATTGAAAAGGAGTGGATAGTGGCCTGAAAGGAGTGGGTGACAGTCTGCCTCTTAAACTACTGGGTACCTGGACACTCACTGTTGCTTACATCATTCATTGAATAAATCTATGCTGTGATGATAGTTGATTAATTACCTTATAAAGACAAAGTATTTGACGATAAATTTAAGTGCAATTGCAAAGAAACACATCAAAGCAGAGAAATCATCTTACTGTTGGTTGTCTGAGGCCAAGTGCACTTCCTTTATCACAGTAGGCATTTAAAAACTTTTTGTTAAGTGAATGACTGAATTAAGTAAGTGAATAGACAATATTCCCACTTCACAACCCTTATACCCACATACACACCTAGCTTGGGTCAGACTTCTTGCTGCTGTCATTCACTCAGGACAAATAAAGCAGGGGAGTGTAGGCGACCTCCATGGCAATTCCTAATGTAGGACAATGAGAGAATTTCCCTCAGCCCCTCGTGTCCACTTATCCACCCATCCATCCGTCCAGCTGTTCTTCAACAGGTCTACACAATGATAACCATTTATGAAATCTCACCCAGGTGGACATCGGCTGCAACCTCTGAGGAATGAGGAGAATCACCGTGTGATGTCAAGACTACCTGTGTCCCCACTGTGCTACAGGCCATCACAGGGCCACAGCAGGCACAGGACACTTGGGAGGTCCTGAGCTTACCTTGGCACACAAATGAAGATGGTGTTTCCCCTGGGTGGACTCGGCCTGTGATGAAGACCACCTTCTTCTCGGCCCCTTCTCGGAGATTTTCTGTAAGAAACAATTGTAAGGTCACCATGGACAGCAAGCTGAGACCAGAAATTGGTTTGTGAGGAGCAGGCAGCTAAGGAAGCAGCTGGATGAATGCTTTTATCTTCCTTTTAATCGTTGGGTTAGAACCATTAAGGACCAGCCATTGTTGACTAATTATGCCTCCATCTATTCAATATTAAATAGATTCCTTTTTTTCTTTGTTCCTTTTTCTTCATGGAACTTAGAATATTATATTAATATGTAATATTTGCAACCATCTGAGAAAGCCATCAGTGAGGTTGAATCCCAAAGCTACGGACTGTGCCCCTAGACAGTTGTATATCTTTCTGAGTTTCAGTATTCTTAACTATAAATGAGAAGAATTATATCTGCTTAATTTGGTTGTGATAATGAAACAAGGCTAAACATTCCCTAGTACTAAGCAAACACCTAGTAAATAATGGAATAAAAGGTAGCTATTTATAATAGTAATAGTAATACCTGCCATTCAATTAACCCCTTGTGCCAGATATTTCTTATACATATTCATAATCTTTAGAACAATATGCAGTTCATACTCCTATTATAGAGGCAGAAATTAAAGTTCATTGAAGTTATGCAATTTGTTCAAGGTTGTATAGTCAATAGGTGATATCAGATGAAATTAGAATTCAGGCTTTTGTTTTGGTAGTGATGAAGTGACAACAGAGACCAGATTCCTTTTACTCTGAACACCTAGAAAATTAGGTTTTGGTACTAGACCTCTAGTATAGTATATGTAAGGCTCTCGTTTGACTTCCAGCATTGGGAAAAACAAAAACAAATAAAAAATTTAGAAAACTAAATAAAATATACAAAACAACTACTTTCAGATGCTGGATAAGAGACAAAAATGAAATAACAGAGCACCCTTAGAAAAGGGGAAAGATAAGGCATGCCACATGATTTCCATGTGTTTTTCTGATGGTCCATTACTCAATGAAGAGCAGCATGTGCTATCCTGAGCACACCATGGAAGTCTCACTGAAAATCAAGGTTAGCTGTTCAGGAGAGGCTCAGTAAATTCCAGTAGAGAAAAAGAGCTCCAGAAATCTGTAAGAATCTCTCTCGAGTCTTTTGCTAGATCCCAAACTCTGTGCAAATATGGGATGAAGCTTTAAGCTATAGATTGGATCTAGAGTGTATTGAAGACTTAGCCTCAGGTGTATGCTGCCATTGGAAGATGGCAGACTCTTTAACAGGTAATGTCTAGTGGAGGAAAGTTGGGTCTTTTAGGGTGTGCCTTTGAAGGTTAGGACGCCAGACCTAAACTCTCTCTGCTTTGGTTTCTAGCTTACATGAAGTAGAAATATTCTACTCAAAGGAAATATTTGAGCTACTGACTCCAAAGAATAAGTGTTTTTTGATCATCCAGGAAGAGTGAGGACTCAGAGGGTTGTATCTTAGTGGTAGAACCAAATTACTCTACACAGATTCTAAGAAGGTTTTAAAATCATCAGAAAAGAACCAAACTATAGGGGAAAAAAAGTTAGCTGCTTGATATGAAAAGCCCAACTTTTAAAAAAGGAAGACAATAAAATCCAGACACTCAACAATGTATCTACTTTGTAATGTTCTGCAAGTAATAAAAATTATTAGATATGTAGAAAAGTAGATCCCAATAGCTTTCTGCTTCTACAGAAATCTAGCCTGTACAATAAAGTTCAACCATTATAAAAAGATTATACATATATATATATATATATATATATATATATATATATATATATATATATGTTGCTGTTGCCTTGGTTTCAGATTTTTCAAGGTAGTCTTGTGGTATAGACCAAAACTGGCTTAGAACTCTCTATATAGTTCAGGCTAGAACTCATATATATGAGTTCAACCATTATAAAAAGAATATATATATGAAACAACAACAAAACACACACACACACATACACACACTCAAACAATAGCCAAGAATAACCTTCCTAATGGGGAAAAGATACTCAGCCATTGGCAGAAGGGTTATTGACATACAATGTAACAACAACTTGAAGGAAATGTAGGAAGCAACAGAAAAACTGGACTAAAGGAGCCCTGTCTGTATTAGAGGATGAGGAGAGGGCACAGAAATAAACAACAGGTATTTTTAAATGCTGGTAATAGGTCATTTTCAATGTCACAGAAGATTCACTCATGTCAGACATGACAAAAGTATTAACTCTTGGGGCAGAGAGATGGCTGATCAGTTAAGAGCAGAATCTGGGTTTGACTCCCGGCATCCATATGGCGGCACACAACCAGTTGAGGCTACAGTTCTAGAGGATCCTGTGCCCTCCTCAAGCCCCTGCAGGCAGTGCATGCACCTGTTGCATAATATACATCAGGCAAAACGTACATACATGTAAAATAAATTAAAAAAAAAATCTCGACTGTCCTAAAGGTGGGTGTGGTGGTGTGCACCTTTAATCCCAGCCTTCAGGAGGCAGAAGCAGGGATCTGTGTGTTCAAATTCAACCTGACTACGTAGTGAGTTCCAGGACAGCCAGGGCTATATAGAGAGAAGCTGCCTCGGTCAAACAAATATAAACAAATAAATGAACATAAACATTGTCCTAAGGCTTGTGGGTTGATTGGTCCATTGGGATGACCAGCAAGCACGCAGAGCTTTCAATCCCCTGGAAGCCAGCAGGAAACATTGGATCAACATATGTGAGAATTTATCCTCTACTCTGTGCACCTTTGAAGAGAGAAGATACATTTATAGTCTCAAAGAAGAGTTAAGCACTTACACATTTCCTGAACAGAATATAAGCTACTGCAGGGAGAAAATGATGTTTACTGGTAAATAGCTAATGTCTTTCCCAGGAGCCTGTTTGAAATGGGTACCCAGGAACTGGTTGCTAAATTAATAAAGGAAAATAGCTGTACATATTTACAGATATGAAGAAATTTAAACACCTGTTATTTCATTTAAATCTTTATGGTGCTCTTATGGAGGTGGGTGTGTTCGTGCCATTTTACAGGGGAGAGACCTGAGGCCATGGAAGGAATGGATATGCTCAAGGTCATGTTGCCAGGAGTCAAGGCCTAGCTCTGAGCCCTAGCCTTTCTCTACCCTGTCTGCCTTCTGGATCCGCTAACATTATACAACCCAGCATCTGCTGCATTTCCATCTGCAATGTACACAGGAGACTTGCGTTTAATTCCTTATTGCTGAAAGAAATTGAACTACCGCCTTAGTTTTTTGTATTGCTTTTTCACTTAGACATTTTTTAATCCCCACTCCCACACCATTTTTAAAAATGGTACCTAACACTGACCCCATCTATCCTGACAGTCTAGAAATGATGAATAACATTACTGAAGCCCTCAGTGAAGGCTAACTTTATGGATGCCTCCCCTGACCCAGTATCAACTCAATTGCATTCACATTTCTGCTGACCACAGGGAAAGGCAAAACAGGCATTCTATTTGCACACTAATTTTACTGAGCCCCTGTGACTTCATAAAATGATAACGTGGGGCTAATAAAAATCAAGCCTCTCTGGCATTAATATAAGCAAATGTTGATGCAGGCAGGTAACAAATTGCTTTGTCATTTAGGGGGCCATAAAAGAGCATTATAATCATCTTTGGGCAAAACGGATGGGTTGCCTTTGCTTAGCTTTTAGCTTTCATTTGCAAAATCAATTTAAGATAATGTAGCAGCTCTGAGATGGTGTGACAAGGAGCCATTCCCACCCTTCCTGTTGTTACCAAATCCCCAGACTCCTTCATGCAAAGACAATTAAACATATTCTTGGTTGAGGCAACAGGGATAAAGAATGGTGTGTGCTTGAACAAATCTAAGATGGAATAGAGTGCAGACAATGAGACCAAGAACAACCCACAGGGGATGGTAAAAACAGAGGACTCAAGGAGGCCACCATGTTCAAGGACACAAGAATATGCTTTATACAGCATCCCTAACCCATGTGTATGTGCACACATATGAACAGAAGTGCACACCTGGACACAAATACACAGAGAAGTATATCTTGCCATTATAGTCCATATTATTCTCAAACCGTTATTCATAAAATGTTTACTGACCACCTGTTTGGTGACCAGGTACTCGCTATTATTTATTTCATTTTACAGAAAAACAAGGCCAAAAAAGATTTAGTGACCTAGCCATGTCCTTATAGATAATGAAAAAAATGGTAGAGCCAGAATCACAACTCAGGAAAAAAAAAACTGTGTTCTTAATCTTCATGCTATCCTATCAAGGACAATAACATAATTCTATTATGATAGCAGTTAGGAAATATTTATCGGGTACCTATTCTGTGTCAAATATTTTTACATGCCTGATATTTGATTATCACAGTCATCCAAATAAAGCATCTTCCAATTATTTTATTATTTCATCCACTTCTTATAAATTAAGAAATCAAGATCTAGAAACATTAAGTGTCTTAACTAAATTTGCAAATGTGCCAATATTAGACCTAGGCATTTATGAATCTCTCACTATGTTCTTAAATACTGTGTCAGGTTGACTCTTGAAGATCAAACAGGTTCCTCTGGCTGATTTCATTATTATGACCATTGATTTGTTGCTGTTGCCTTGGTTTCAGATTTTTCAAGGTAGTCTTGTGGTATAGACCAAAACTGGCTTAGAACTCTCTATATGGTTCAGTGGCTTCAAACTCCCTGTTCTGCAGCCTCAGCCCCCGAAATGCAGGCTTACAGATGTGTGCCACCATGCCCAGGCCAATCAAGTCTTTGCTAATCTCCACTTTCAAGAGGTGGAATTTAGCCTTCGTGCACACTAGACTTAGATAGTTGCTTCTAGAAATGAAACACCATAAAGGAATGATACATAAAGGAATGATGGCTGTAAAAGGACTATAGTCTTTGGTATGCTTCCTTACTCTTGAACAACTCACTTCTAAGGGAATTGGATGTGGTGTCATGAAGACACTCAAATAGACCATAGAGAGGACCACATGGTGAGAATGGCCAAGAGGAACTTATGTCTGAGTGAG